TCCTGAAGGCACCTCCGATTTTAACAGCAACTTGTTATAAATCTCAGACAGACAACACATGATCAGATTCCACCTCTTTCTTTAGTTGTTCAATCTGAATTACAGCAGGAATCGTTAAAGCAAGCAAGGTAGCGAATATCGACGTACCCGAACAAGGAGAGATACGTGACAACCCATCTGCTGCTTTATTCTGAATAAACCGACCAATCTAGACCGCATTTACCAAACCTTCTGACTCGAACCGAGGGTTCGAAAACCTCCACTTCGCTTCAAAGGTTTGCTGAAGACAGGAATCGTTAAAGCAAGCAAGGTAGCGAATATCGACGTACCCGAACAAGGAGAGATACGTGACAACCCATCTGCTGCTTTATTCTGAATTCCTGGTTTGTAAACAATCTCAAAATCGTAGCCCAACAACTTGGATAGCCACTTTTGATATTCCAAATTAACCTCTCTTTGATCCAATAGAAACTTGAGCGCCTTCTGATCTGTATGAACGATGAAATGGCATCCCAAGAGGTAGTGTCGCCATCGTTGTATCGATAATACAACGGCCATCAACTCCCGTTCATATACCGGCTTCAATTGATCGCGAGCAGAAAGTGCATGGCTGTAGTATGCTATAGGCTTGTTCCTCTGCATCAAAACAGCTCCGATCCCCATTCCCGACGCATCCGCTTCGACAACAAACACCTCAGAGAAGTCGGGAAGAGCTAGAACGGGCGTAGTTGACATCGCAGTCTTCAGCGCCTCGAAAGCTTCTGAAGCTTCTGCATTCCATGCGAAACTATCCTTCTTCAACAGACTAGTGAGAGGGCGAGCCAACGTACCATAGTGCTTAACGAACCACCGATAATACCCTGTAAGCCCTAAGAAACCCCGCAACTCCTTGATAGATGTCGGATGTGGCCAGTTTTGCATTGCTTCTGTCTTGGCAGGATCGGTCATCACCCCTTGTGCTGTGATAACATGACCCAAATAATCGATGCTACCTTGACCGAATTGGCACTTCTTTCTGTTAGCAAACAGGCTGTGTTCTGCCAGAATGGCCAGAACAGTACCGAGATGGTCTATGTGGTCTTCGCAATTCCGGCTGTAAACCAGGATGTCGTCAAAGAACACAAGTACGAAACGACGCAGGAAGGGTTTAAAAACCTTATTCATCATTGACTGGAAGGTAGCGGGGGCGTTGGTTAAGCCAAATGGCATGACGAGAAATTCGTAATGGCCGTCATGAGTCCGAAAAGTCATCTTTGCAACATCCTCTGGCCGCATTCTAATTTGGTGATAGCCCGAACGTAGGTCGAGCTTGGAGAAGACAGTAGCCCCGTATAATTCGTCGAGAAGCTGGTCTATCATGGGTATGGGAAACTTATCCGGCACCGTCACCTTATTTAGAGCTCTGTAATCAACACAGAACCTCCAGCTTCCGTCCTTCTTCTTGACAAGCAAAACCGGGCTCGAAAACGGACTGCTACTTGGCCGAATTATACCTGCTTGTAGCATCTCTTTAACCAGTTTTTCAATTTCTTCCTTGTGAGCATGGGGGTAGCGATAAGGCCTCACACTAACTGACCCTGCCTCTGGGCGTAACGTTATACAATGCTCCTTGTCCCGAAAAGGCGGCAGACCTGACGGTTCGACAAAGACATGAGCATGTTTCGCCAGAAGGCTGTCGATTGACCCAGAAGAATGGAACTCTGTTGAAGAATCAGGTTTCAGAGAACTAAATTCCACCCAATACCCTTCCTCGCAATCTCCCAACGTCTTCAGAAGGGATTTGAAGGATACCACCGATGACTGGAGAGAAGGATCCCCTTTCAAAGTGATCGCCGTCTGACCCGAATTGAAACGCATCTCTAACTGCTGAAAATCCATCTGAAATCTGCCCAGAGTTTGCAGCCACTGGACCCCAAGAATGACGTCGGCGCTACCCAATTCTAACGGTAAGAAATCGGCCACAATATCCAGATGAAGCATCCGAAGACGTACCCCTTTACAGATTCCCCTAGACCGGACGGTAGTGCCTGTACCCAGGGAAACTCCGTAACTTGTAGTTGTTGAAGGCTGGAGACCCACCTTCTCTAAAACAGCCACTGAGACGAAATTATGCGTCGCCCCCGTGTCGATGAGAACCACCACGGAATGGCCACGAATAAAACCTTGTAATTTCAAGGTAGACGGAGAGTTGAGCCCAACCACAGAGTTCAAGCATAGCACCGCCAACTCTGCCGGTTCCGACCCAGATGCCGGTTCTTGCTCCGATTCGTCGTCCAACGGAAGAATGAACTCACCCTCATCCTTGACCAAGATAACCTGAAGCTCGCGGTTTCGGCAACGATGACCGAAGAAGTACCTCTCGTCGCATCGGAAGCACACCCCGCGGCGTCGTTTCTCATCGAGCTCAGCATCAGAGTACTTGCGAAAAGGTGGCTTCGCAAGCCCTATCGAAGAATTGGGCCCTGCTAGCTGAGGTACAGCAGAAAGGGCTGGGGCCGGATCCTGCTTTTTAGAAAGCCCAATTCGATTAGACCCATTGGGCCCAGTTGTTGGTAAAGAGATAGTGCGAAAAGGGTTCGCCGCTGCCTAGACCGGACGGTAGTGCCTGTACCCAGGGAAACTCCGTAACTTGTAGTTGTTGAAGGCTGGAGACCCACCTTCTCTAAAACAGCCACTGAGACGAAATTATGCGTCGCCCCCGTGTCGATGAGAACCACCACGGAATGGCCACGAATAAAACCTTGTAATTTCAAGGTAGACGGAGAGTTGAGCCCAACCACAGAGTTCAAGCATAGCACCGCCAACTCTGCCGGTTCCGACCCAGATGCCGGTTCTTGCTCCGATTCGTCGTCCAACGGAAGAATGAACTCACCCTCATCCTTGACCAAGATAACCTGAAGCTCGCGGTTTCGGCAACGATGACCGAAGAAGTACCTCTCGTCGCATCGGAAGCACACCCCGCGGCGTCGTTTCTCATCGAGCTCAGCATCAGAGTACTTGCGAAAAGGTGGCTTCGCAAGCCCTATCGAAGAATTGGGCCCTGCTAGCTGAGGTACAGCAGAAAGGGCTGGGGCCGGATCCTGCTTTTTAGAAAGCCCAATTCGATTAGACCCATTGGGCCCAGTTGTTGGTAAAGAGATAGTGCGAAAAGGGTTCGCCGCTGCCCCTGACGCTGATTTCCCTGTACGGTAGTCGTCCGCTCTGGTCGTGGCGGCGCAAACAGGGCTCGCGTCAAGCCGAAGCGCCGTTTTGATCGTTTGTTTCAACCCTTGAGGCTCCAGCACCTCCAACATCAGTCGAACCTCGGTACGCAAACCCTTGACAAAGGCGCTTTCGAGCAATGTTTCTGGCGTTTTCGGCAACTGCGGAAACAGCTCTTCGAACTCCCGCAAATATTCACTCACAGACCCAGACTGCTGCAGCGAGATCAGACGAGCACCGACCTTGCCGGAAAACTGTTCAGTAAATCTCTCCATGAGTCGCATCTTGAAATCCAGCTAGTCGACGAACGGCTCCTCATCATTTTGCCAGTCGAACCAGTTGAGTGCTGCACCGTCGATACTTAACGACGCTAAGGGAAGTTTGTCCTGATCTCGGATGGCGCCGTACTTAAAGTATCTCTCAGCTCGAACTACCCACCCTGCCACGTTTGTTCCTTCGAATACTGGCATTTCAAGTTTTCGAAGAGTGAGATCGTTACCCGTAATAATCGACACACGTTGAGCATCTTCGATAACAGTCTCGAGATCCGGAAGAACAGGGGGTAATATTGGTGCCGACGGTTGTGAATCAGTGATGATCATCGGAGCTTTGCCTTTGTCGGAGACCAACGGAAAAGTGCTAGATGAATGTTCGCCGGAACCCAATGGAGCTGCTGGCTGTTTTGCAGATAGTTCCTGACGTTCCAACATACTACAGAGCCTTTCCATCACCTGCCCCATAGCTTGCAACTTGCCTACATCCTTTTGGATCTACGACACGTTGCTCTTCATCTCTCCCATGTTTCCTCTGAGCTCTCCCATGGACGCTTCAAACTTGCCCATTTTGGAAGCCACCAAATCCTCCAGTTGCTCCAAACGATGTTGATCTTTTGGCGGCATGGTGGATCAGTGCTCTGATACCAGGTTTGTTAAGACAAGAACAGATTATATAGATATAATACCAATTGTATTCCTCAAAACAAAGAAGAATTACAACTGTTTACCAAGAGGCATACCTCTCTTCCCCACAACAAGGTTCTAGATCTCAGATACCCTTTCCCCAAATGAAAAACGTAGATGTATAGGAAGCTCACCCAGCAATATCAAGCTGAGGTGGCACCTGCAACAACTTATTTACATAACCGAATACACCAGCAATTATTCCTTGCCAGAAATATTCTTCTGTTGCTGCTCCTTGCCTTCTCTCTGCTGTTTCTTCCCTAACGGATCTGGGCCCACGCTGTCCCCTGCTCCTTCTCTCTCCTCACTCATCTTCTTCCTCTTCCTCGTATAAACTCGAAAGGGTTTATCATAAAGTTGCTAACTTTTTTTTTAATGGTTGAATCTCTTAGTGAGAGCCTGCTTTCTTGGACTTACTCCGATTGCGCAATTCACAGAACCCTTGCTTCGTTGCCTTTTCAATCAGATCAATATAAGGAAAAGATCTTTGCGTTATATCTGGTCTCAATAATTGAATCATTTAGATCCAGTGATGCGTGGAATTAGAACAAAAACATTCAAACCAGAGTGATATACCCTCCCGTGTTTATGTTAGAGGCTGGAGGAAGAAGGCAGAGGAGGCAGGGGCAATGGGCGAGTATAGGATTGACAGCTGTTTTATTGGGTTGACGATGATGTTCTAAGATTCGTGTAATCTCCGGCGGTAGTTCTTGTGCATCAAAACCTGTCAGCAGGTTTGTTGCTGCGGCTGTGTATATAGACGTTAGGATGGGCACGGGAGTTTTCATGTTTTGATTTTTCGGGATTTCCTCCGGTGTGGGGAGAGTTGGGAGGCTCTCAGGAATCAACCTTTCCATCTTGTTTCTGCCTTTTGATGTCAATACATTAAGAGGTTACAACTTTGTTCTTTACAAAGAGCTGTTAGTTGCTCATCGTTTTTGGTTAATGTATATAATACAGCTGTATATGAAAGAAGATGTGTACAATTATTCACAGACAACAAACAACGTGGAAATGTCATTCTGCAAATTCGGTAACCAAACGGCTTTTGATGAAGTTGGGCTCGACATAACCAGCCATAGTGCAAATCGGGTCGCCATCGCAAACCCAAGATTCGCCCTCTGGGGTCGATATGCTGTGACAGAAAGACAACAACTTTGCTGTCCACGTCTCATCGCGATAATATCGCGTTGTCGTGGCCTGGACGTGCAAGCCAAGGAAGAGTCACTTTGTCCGTGCACTCGCACACCAGAATTGGATGCCGAAATCCTAATAGCTTCAGAACGTTCATGATTCTTGATACATACCTCCCCCAAGGAAAGACACCACCAACTCGAGTTTTTGTTACAATTGTCTCAAATGGTCGCGCCATTGTTTGATATTCAACACACTAAAGAGGTCCAAACATGGGGGAGAAGACTAAGCAGTGAAACTCACGAACCCGACCAGTGCCTGAACTTGGAGATCCCACGACGGTTTTCAGAGAAAGAATCCCGGATCGACTGGACCATTTCCCGCACCACAGGAACTCCGTACAGATCTTTGTCTTGTTCCTGCAACATCCCGACACCATCAGGTGGGGTTTCCCTCTAATGCCTAAAAAAAAAAACGAGTTCAGTAAAGAAGTACCGTCTTGGCCAGACGCTCCTCCATACCCAAAGAAACTGCACCACCGGATATGAATATTTTACGATATGCCCTTCTCAGGCTACTGATCTGCCATTTCCACCCAAAAGATACAGTCTTTTTTTAAACACTTGAAAAATGATAACACAATCGCTTTTACTTCTACAATACCTCTGAGATTGTGAATTCACTGCGTCGAAGTCCTTCCAGATTCAGACCCCGGATTTCTGCTCTTTCTCCAGTCACCATCATGTACTTTGGCACATCTTGTGAAACCTATAATTCAGACAACAAGAAAAAAAATGGTTTCATTTCATGCCCGGAACTTTGCTTTCCACTTTTCGATGCAGAAAACCCGATAGAGTTCCCGTTGTGTGAGGAGAGGCACATTGCAACTGAGAGCTCTGAGAAAGAACATACCACTGAACCACCGCCGATGAAAGAGAAAGAACCAATGTGGCAAAACTGGTGAACCACAGTGCCTCCTGCTGTGTGTGTATAGTCCTGGATTTTGCAGCAGCAGCAGCAGAAGGTTAACATAGGCGGTAAATTACATAGAAACAGATCCGAATAAAAACTACGCCATTAGTATTACTTCTACGATCACATGGCCAGCAAGAAGAGTATTGTTGGCAAATATGTTGTTGTCGCCGATCTTGCAATCATGAGCAATATGGCAAGAACCCATTATTAGATTGTTATCACCGATGACCTGTTTCACAAAGAGACTGTAAGAACACACTTCATAAAGACTACAGATTTTGCTCATATCGGTCAATAACCAGTACCAGACCGTTTTGTCGGTGGGCTTTGACGACCTGTGAATCGAACAGAACTCTCTGATCTCGTTGTTATCACCGATGCGAAGAAAGCAATCATCCCCGGCCTAAAAAGAAAACAGAAAGTGTAGACTCCTGATCAGTACACCGGTTTTTGAATTAGTCTCGACTTTCAAGCAGAGCATTCGTAACATGGAATATGACAAGTCATCATTTTCTGATTACCTTGTATTTCATGTCTTGACATTTAACACCGACCACAGCATGATGACCGATAACGTTGTTGCATCCTACAACGGTATACCCGGGAAGATCATCGTCACCAACAACAGCACCACTGGCTGACAAAAATCAAGGCATGTACACACGCACGAGAACAGCAAAACGACGTTTAAAAACGAGAGGAAACACACCGTATACCATATACCACGGAAGAAAACCGGTAAGAGTGAAACCGGCTTACGTCATAACAACGCAGGAATCCCCCAATTCCGTGTTCCCAAAGACGTGGCTAGAAGGATATAGTTTGCATCCATTGCCGAGCTTTGCCGAGGAACCAACAGTACAAAAGGGACCAACCGAAACGCCCTGACAGGAAACATCCATTCAACTGCTTTATTATATCTTAAAAGCAAAATGGTGACTATCTACTCATAACCACAAGATTTTGAACAAAATCTAAATGCATCAAAACAGTCAAATCAATGCCACTGAAGTGCTGTTCATCATACCGAGACCTTGCACAGGGGAGATTATACTAAAGGACATTACTTTGGAAGGTTTTGCCAGTATAGATGATTAGAGAAGCAGCATGGGTATTTGAAGAACATCCGGACTGATCCAAAATCGAACGAGTTGATGGAAAAAGTCGAAATCTTTCACCAAACAGAAGAAGAAATCCGAGAGCCCCGAACTAATTTGCTAAACCAAGAATGAACAATCAACAAACCTTCCCAATAACTGCATCTGGATGGACAATAGCTGTTGGGTGTATAGATCTTCCCACATCTTCAGCAATATCTGCTCAAAATTAACAAAGTTTTCGACTTTAAGAGCTCAGGTCGATTCAGAGGAGAGGGAGAGAGAGAGAGAGAGAGATCTACTGGGGAGAGAAGAGGAGAGACGCCGAAGAGAGAGAGCGACGAAAGGAGACAGAAACCGCCGGCGAGGGGTCAGTCGAGGAATCATGGCCGACCAATGGATTGGGAAAATTGCTCAAATGCCCTCTGGCGTCGCAACAATATCTACTGTACTGTACACCCAAAAATTAGATTATTTTGATTTATTTAGTTAAATAATATGTTTTTATTGTTTTTTTATTGTTTTTTTATTTAAACTATTTTACAAACTAATCACTTATCTATTATATTATATGACATATGAAACGAATTAGTAATCATTAACATATAAAGTTATACAATAATATGATATATGGCTAAAAATCAAATCTATATATATGTATTATTAATATTAAGTTTTGAAAAATAACTATTTCAATAATTCGAATATTTTTTAATCGTTCACTTGATGATAAAAAGGAAAGAGAAAATCACCATGAAATTTAAAAAAAAATAATCGTATTTTTAATTGAGGTATTATAGACTTTTGAATTATATAAATAATATATATTACCTTTATATAACCCAGGGTTACGTAAGCATAAAATTTATATAATTTTAATTTCCACGTAAAGTTTTGTTAAAGTTTTATCAAGTGTTATCAAAGTTAAACGATATATTATTTATATTTAACAAAACTTTATGTGAAAATTAAAATTATATAGATCTATTGACATATTTTATCAAGAACATATAAATAAAACGATAGAAGCGTACCTGAATTTATCTTCATATTGGTATAAAACGAATTGATGGTAGTCTCATGAATCTTTATGTATTTTTAGACTTACAATCAAATCCGAGACTTATAAAAATATTATATTTATAATAATACGCGTGATTTATAGACAATTTCCATTTATAAATTTAATTATCTTATATTTTTTAAAACATCCATCAAATTATAGAAAATTACCTTTTGTTATTTGTATATTAACTCTTTAACTTTATCAAAATTACGATTTAAACATATTTTATAAAATAATCATATTTATACCTTATTAATAGCTCAACATAACAAAATTCATAATTTAAATTAAATATTGAATCATATTAATTGAAAATATTGATGAAATATTATAACACTAGAAATATTACAAATCAAGATTTATAGTATTTTTAAAGACATTAATCATTACTAAGGATATTTTTGGAAAAAAAATTCTACTGTTCCATCAATAGGTTCGAACGCGAGAAAAAAGGAGAGATTGAATTTCCTGACCCCCCACCATCCTGTCAAATAAGTGGAACAAACTAATCGAATTTATATATAATTATATAATAAATTTGGTATTTAAATATTGCTTTCAAATCAAATATACGTTTATCATGATCTTTTGATATTTTTCATATTTCAATATTTTTTATATCCAAAGTTATTATAAAAATATATGTATTTTTTATATTTAGTATTAAAATAAATTATTTTATATTTATTTATAATTTTCCCTAAAAGTCTGATATAAATAATTATTTGGAAAAAACTCCTAAAAATTTCTAAAATTGCAATTTAGTGAAAAAATAATTCTTACACTTTTTAATATGTCTAATTATTCCTAAACTTGAAAAGAGTGACTTAATAATTCTTAAAATTGTTTAAAAGTGTGATATTGATCCTTAACGTAAGTTGACCAAAATAATACTATTATAGAATTCTACGTGACATGTGAAATGTCAAGGCACGTCCGAATTTTATACTATATATGTAGAACCAGATTTAATGAACCTGGTTTAACAAAATACGTTCGAACCGAAATTAATAAACTCATGCGTTACCGTATGTGTGTACATATATATATCTTATCATGTATTGTCACCACCTCCCTCTCTCTCCCTCTCCTTTTACAGCTAGACACAGAGTTTGATTTTGCTATCATTTATTATAAATACTATAAGATTATGTGTGATTTCAGTTTCTCGCTTGGGATTTGAAGAACAATCCATAAATACACAGAGAAGATTTTTTTTATTGTACCAAATTTATTATTATTTCAAACCGATTTTTTAAAAACCGAGTTTATTAAATCTGCTACATCTTGACATCTCAGCGCCACGTATGATTTTATAACAATATTATTTTGGCCAACTTACGTTAAGGATCAATATGAGACTTTTAAACAACTTTAGAAATTATTGTCATTTTTTTAAATTTAGAAATAATTAGATAAATTAAAAAGTATATGAATTATTTTTCCACCAAATTACAAGTTTAGAAATTTTTAGAAGTTTTTTTCCAAATTATTTTCAAATTTTCCATCAAATAAATTTTTTGGATATCCAAGTTATTTTAGATATCTGAGTTTTAAGTTTTAAACTTTTCGATTCGTATTTAAATAATAATTGTTTTATCCATTCAAAATTATATTCCTATTTGAATAACTTAAAAGTGAATAATTATTTTTCGGTTTCATATCATTCATATATGATGGTAGAGGTGGATATGGATTGGGTATTCGAGATTTTTAGGTTACTCTAATCTAAAATCTCGAATTATATATTTTATTATCCGAATTCATATATGTGAAATTAGATACCTAAATTTAAAAATCTGCGAGACAATTTTCGGGTATCTATGAATATCTGAAACCTGAATATTTTTAATTATTTTCTATCGTAATTATACTTATATATACATATTCAAATTCATTACAAATGATTTTAAAATAAATTCAAAAATTTTAAAAATACATCATAAATCTATCCAATAATATCTATCTATAATCTTTAAAATCATAACACAACACAAAATATAAAAATAATTGTTTATATAGAATAAACTTATAGATTTAGCTATTAATTATGATTAAAAACAGAGAAAATATGTTGATGAGTTAAATAATCATTTTAAAATATTATATATATAAAAATATATTTATAAATACATCTAAATCTTACAATTTTTAAAATAATCTTATATTGTATAGATATCTCCGGATAGCTACGAGACAATATTTATTATTTAAATTCGAATCTAAAAATCCGGGTATTCTCGTATCATTATTCGATTTCAGATTTCATTCTCGTATACCAAAAAATTTGGGTACCTGACCTACAAATCAAGTTGGGTATTCGAAATTTAGGTTTTTTAATCCATCGCTCTCTGATGGCGCTAGCATCACCACCAAATTACTTCCTTTTAAAATTTGTCGGGGAAGTCATGCAAAAGTGGACGGTTGGGACGCGCGCAATCACCTCACGTTAGAGTGCGCCACGTGAACAAGATGAAGATCCGAAGGTTTAAAAATTGCCACGTGGATCCCACGCAATCCGAAAAGTTATAACGCCGTTAATCCACCGTCGACCTTTAGCAGTTTGAGAGCAACGGCGTTGATTTTTAGGTGTCGCCGTTAGATGACGTGTATCATTTCGAACCGTAGGATTAAGATTCGACGCGTGCGCCTCAGGCGAGATCAGCGCGGTAAAAGCGTAGATTAGTCCAAGCCTGTTCCCTCGCTCATTTCAGCCGCTGAAACCAGACGGGCGAAGCTCCATCTCCGGAAGAAGCGAGAGAGATGGCAGAGGATAAGGAAGCTACGACGAGTTCACTGAGTCAGGGACTCACTCCTCATGACCCGGACGATGCTCCGAAATCTCCTCCGAACTCGCTTAATTCTTCTACTCGCAAGGTATGCTTCAGATCCGCCACTTGTCGCTTTGTATAACCTCCTTCCTGTTGTGTTTTTCGGGAACTTGTCTCGTTTTGCGATTGTTGCTGTGTTTATGTAGAGGATTCAACCTCTCGAAACCTCACCGATCTCTCCGAATCACTCGTGTGAGCAAGAACGAAAAGAACACAGAGTTTACGAGTTCAGTATCGAGCTCTAACACTCGATACCTACGTCTCGGGAAGAGGAACAGCGTTTGCTAGGGTTACCGCCGGAGATCGACCGGAAAACCGACCCCGACACACGGAGAACGCAAGTTCGCCGAAAGAGAGAGAGAGAGAAAACACGAAAGCGAAAAACCACCGTCTGAGCAAAACACACAAACCCTAGGTCACATTTACTTGACCTCAAGATGACCATTTTGCCCCTCCGCATTTACCAAACCTTCTGACTCGAACCGAGGGTTCGAAAACCTCCACTTCGCTTCAAAGGTTTGCTGAAGACATAACAAATCTCCACCTTCTTCTGCCAAACCTGCAAAAGAACAAGAAAACACGGAAAACCGAGGAAAAACCAAAGACACGCCAAACCCTAGCAGGCTCATTCCCGTAACTTCCATGTAACTCCTCCTCTGGGCATGGTTCAATGCGCATTGAACCTACCCTTCTAAAGGAGTCCTTACCGAGCGTGTCATAAACACGTCTCAGCGTGACACGACGCACCTAACCTACCCAAATGAGTGTCCCCCGACACCTCCGCTTCCGAAGCCTACCTAAGACCTAGACTAGTATGACTCTCTAGACCGTCTAAATGACCCCCTCCGGTGAAGTCTATACCTCACCAATGGCGCCCCCGGAGGTTCACGCCCCGACATCTACCCGTCCCCCGAGTCTACCCCGACTGCCCCGAGACTAACCTTGAGTCATACTAACACACCTAACTCTTGATCCCCGTAAAGATCAAGCGACCTATGACCTCTACCCCGGACCCCTACCTACCGACTAAGGTTCCCCACGGGTTTTACCCCGTGAAGACCCCCTAGTCGACCTATAAGAACTCTACCGAAGGCTCGGAACATGTGCAAGCACGTGCTCCACCCCGAGAGGAAACGCCCCTAGCGCTACTACCCTCACCGACTCTACCCGGTGACATGGCATTTCCTCGCTCGCCCCTTCCTCTGAGCTTCCTACCTGAGGTAACTCCACCTAGACGTGGAGACCTCACCTCCGAACCTCCACCCGAGGAGTAGTCGGAGCATACTAGAAGTACCTCCGAATCATACTCCTGAACCGAGGCTACTACCCCCTTACCCTCGGTCTCCTCCTTCGCCCTCCGGGACCTACACTCCTTCTTATAGTGTCCCTTCTTGCCGCAATACCAACACTCCACCTGGTCTTTGGCCTTCTTCTTCCCGCCACCCGATTTCTCGGGTTTGCCCTTGACCATTAATCCTTCCCCCGTACCCCGAGTAAGGGTACCCTGAGCTAGAAGCTC